TGAATTCATTTTTGAGTTTTCCTAATTGAATGCAAGCACGACACTTTTGAAGGATCTAAAGGTTGTTTGGTTGGGTACAAACCAATTCTATAAGGCGCATGGGCATATCGAATGGGCACACGAGGGGGTCGTGCCAAATCCAATGGGCACACCGAACGTGGGTACCAAATCCATTGGGCACTCATTCATTCGAATGGGCACACCACTCAATCCAATGGTATATCAACCGAATCCATCGAGAAAATGTCCAAGTCAATTGAAAAATGGTGTAGTAATATATTGTCAAATCGAGTCGAAACTGGAGCATCCAGTGTCTTAACTGTAAGAGGTCGTATTATTATATAATAAACCGCAGATGAATTTCGGCTAATCAAAATATGCTATTCGTTATATAGTATAGTTTGTACAAGCTTAAAATGGATCAAGGGATTCGAATGCAATTGGCGAAATGACTCGCAAGTCCAAATTTGTGTGAAATTATGATTAACGTTAACAGTAAGAACATAGTTTTGTATTTGGAATGTACCCTGGCAGTTACACGGAAACCGTTCGGTTCCATTGAAACCGCTGCCATACGACAAGAGCGTCGTGTGTACAGTAGCATGACGACGTCGTTGTCGATCGAGTCGTCGTTCGAAATGGACGAAAGCAGCAACCAAGACGTGGTGGTCGCAGGCGTCACTTCCCCGATCAAGAAGTCGTTTGTGAGTAAAATTCCACGGCGGAGTGTCAAGTTGAATCTGTCAAATGCAGCCCCAGCTAGTGCCAGTACCACCAACAACCAGCACGAGAGTACTACTCCTCCCAAGATTGTAAACTACTCGCCCTTCATATCTTTTGAATGACATTGAAATATGATATGGGGGAGGGTTGTGTGTTGCTAGGTGGTCGACGTCAAACTGGACAAGAACCAGCAATTTATCAAGGACTTGGAAGATAAGAAACGAAAGGCACGGGAAGACGACCAAGCCAAAGCGGACAAGCAGCGGCGGTTGCGCTTGAAATTGCGCAAGAGCATCCTCCAACGAGCCGCGTCGATCCGCCCAACGGATGTTGGCGGCGGGGCGGATGATGTCGAGTCGTCCCAACCTCAGGACGAAGCCGCCGAAGCTCCGTAAGTTGGTTGTCAAATTCCATAAGTCCATGTCAAGGAAGTGACTGACCTATGGAGGTGCAGGGAGGAGGCGGTGACTGACGACGAACGCAGAGCCAAGGCGGGAGCGCAAAAGAAATTGCTTCAAAAACAACAAGTACGTCGTCCCACTTGGCATGTCAAATATCGTCGAGATCCATGCATTATGTCTTCCAACACAGTAACCATGGAAATAAAAGTAATACCCCGTTAATCATACTTTGGATATTGCCCCAAATTGCATTATAGAAGTAGTATACTTCGGGAGAATTGCACAAAAATAGTATTTCGTCATTAAATTCATGTGTGATGTGTTGATGTAGGCGTTGCTGGAGGGCTTAAAAGCCAAGCGCGAAAAAGATGCCGAGGACGCCGAGATGGAGCGACAGAAAGCACTCAAGAAAAAGGAACTCACCCGCAAAGCTTCGTTGGGAACAACGGTACTCCAATCAACCGTGATCGTTGCTCAGGTAGTCGTTGGTATAGGAAGTGCCAAGTCGCATGCAAGAAGCGCTGGAAAAGTTCAACCAGGCGGCGGCGGCGGCGGGGAGTGCCGTGAGTGCCGTGCGTGTGAAGAAGGAGGAAAAGGACGACGCTTCCAGCTTGACACCCGAGGAAAGAGAAAAGCGGTGTGTATTAAAAAAAACGATATGCACCTTGGCTCAAACTACCTTCACGGACTTAGCGCATTGCAACAAGAAGCTATCAAGAAGAAACAGGTCGAGTATTTGCAGAAACTTGCTGACGAACGCAAGCAACGACAAGTCGACGACGACGAAAAGAACGAACTCGTGCGGCAAAAACGCGCCAAAGTTCGAGAGGAGGCCCTTCTCAAGCATGAAGCAGCTAAAGCGGAAAAGTTGGCAGCGGCTGCGGCGGACGAATCGACGAGTTCACAGGTCGTCGAAGTGGAGGAAGCCAAGCCCAAAGTCAACGTCGAAGGTTCGCGAGGAATTATCTTGCTAAATATTGTGAATTTCACCCAAATTTGGACTTGAGAGTCATTTCGCCATATAGCTTTCGAATCTATTTGATCGTATTTAAGCTTGTACACGCTATACAATACAAATATTAGTATATATTGGTTTTGCCCAATGGGTTAAACGTTTGGATTGGCAAAAATTGACATGAGGTGATTTGATTGCTCAGGCGGTTCTTTAATCGATTCTCCAAAGGCATTCGATTTTGCTGAGGGCTCCAGTTTCGAATCGATTTGACAATAATACTAGTACCCTATGGCCCTATGGGGATTGAATATGATCACATGAATTGTAGCGATGGTGTCCCGATTAAGCAAACTCAAAACGAGCGAGGCGCAGTTGGTGCCCGAAGCCAAAGACTTTACATCGTGGAAGAAGCGCAACGGCGTGGCCCTCGACACCAAGGTACGTACTACTACTGTGTGTCCAAATTAACTGAAAAATCTCGATGTTTTAAATGAGTTTGTAGGTATTTTGCTTGACGGGGTGGTACCCTGTGATCAAGGAAACGTTGGAAAAGCGAGGGTGGCACCACAACCCTGACCGGAACTCGCCATATTTCGACTTGAAATGGGCGCTCAAGTCGGACGATCTCAAATCTGTCAAGCTCAATGATGATCAGGTACGACACACCCGGGGTTCTATTATAACATGTTACATGTATTATAAGTTTGGGATTTCGGGTTTAAACGGCTTGTACGTAGCTGGTGAACCATTTTCTACAAAACACGGCCATCACAACCAAGTCAGGACTGCTGCACAACCTCCGCAAGTACGCCACCCAATCGTACTCTACTTGCACACGTACTTGTCTTGTGTGGCTGTTACATTTCTTAACAGTGTGCAATTTTGTGTTTCATGTTGTAAAATTTGTTATAACATGGTGTGTAGCGTTACGTGGTTCCTCAGTGAAGATATCGACTCGTTCTTTCCTCGGGCGTACGACCTGAACGAACCCACCGACATGCAGGTCTGCCTCCTCCTCTTATAGCTTAGTAGATTCCTGTATCTATAAATATATGTTTGAAATCTGGATATATATATATCCAGATTTCAACAAAACTGTTTTGTACAGTATCACTCCATGCAACTCCATTCTATCTTTTCGTTTCAGGGTGTTTTATGACGAATCAAACGCAATCTAATTCATGGTAATAACACTAGTCTTACATTCAAGACTTTCGGTACATTCATGCCGAAGGAATGCTCAAACGTCTGGGGGACAAGTGCCGAAATGCCAACGCGATGCCTCATGTGAACGCCGGCGTGCTGGACGTGCTGCTGTCCGTGTGTCGAAAGCGCCAAGAAATTCTCCCCGATGATATTTTGGACAACCCGCTGGCCTGCGGTACCGACGCCATACATATGCTTTTCAATTGGGGGACTATTTGATATATTTTTTATGTATATATTTTCGTTTTTGATCTGCATTATTTTGTGTGAAAGGATTGGATGGTGGCGTGTTCTATCGTCTTAAATGTCGTACCTTTGCACCATGGAATGATGTTGGAACAAAGTTTATTGAAATATTCCATTTGTATACTTGACTTGAGAATATATATTGAATTAGACATCAAAAAAATATTTTCGCGTTTATTCAATATTCACGTTTTATATTCCATTATACCCTCTAGTATAGATCAATCAACGACAATAAAGACGACACGTAGTCGAAAGAATTCAAGTGTTAGTTGAGGAGAAAAGGGGGGATATGTATGTGCAAAAGTCGTCGACTGTTTGAATTGTCGAGGGCTACTTACTATATGGACCATCCAATAGGAATCGAACCAGTGGTAACCGACCTGCAGTGGGAAGTCCTCCAGCGGAGTCCCCTCGATGCCCCGGGGTCGATCCGGGCATCATTTGGGTTTACGAAACCCTCGACGGCCACGTCTTGGACTACTGAAACAAGTGACCAACCGCCTCCTCATATGACCCCCAGCGAAGTGAAAGAGGAAGCGAAGGCTGCCAAGCGACTGGAGCGGCTCATGGGTAATCCCAGCTTAAAACTAGTTTAGTACATAGATATTTCATGCCCGAACTCCACTTGATGTGGGTAGAGGCGGCATTTGTCCAAGAAAAGACCCGGTTGAATGGCCTATTGAGTCAAGTTGTACCGTTGTCGACTGATACTGCCACCAAAGTGCTCGAGTTACTCGCAGGTTTGTACATAATAATATTGTCGATTTGATACAAATTTGGGGACGGGTCAAACCGATCCACAATCGATCTGATTGGTTGAATTTCATTGAGAAACTTTTGATTGGCTAATAATTTTGAGCTCATCTGAGGTAGCCAATCAAATCAATTTAAATTCCAACGAGAAACCACGCCACAACACAATGAAATTTCACTACTCGAAAGCACAATAAACCAAGTTGATATTTTAATAATCGTTACACACTTTGGTTTTGACTTTGCATTGATTGACTATTAGTCAAGTGAAAAATACATGATGGTCCACTTTACACTCTGTAGGCTTGGAGGAGCTGTGTCCGCAGTTCCACTTGAACGGCGGGGTCGACAGCAAGAATGTTTGGATTGTCAAACCAGCAGGTATGTACATACAGTACATATATCAATCCGCGAAACCCCGAAAATCGAGTGGAAATGATGATGGCGATAGGCATGTCCCGCGGTCGAGGGATTCGAGTATTCAACCAACTGCACGAGTTGTTGGAGTATGCGGACGTGGAGAACCATAAAGAATGCCAGTGGATTGTGCAAAAGTACATTGAAAATCCACTTTTGGTGTGCAACCGCAAGTTTGACATTCGCCAGGTATACATACATATATCACATGGGACTAGTAGTACTAGTATGGAATGGGTTAATCGGGATACTTAATATGGTAGTGGGTGTTTGTCACGTCGTGGAACCCGCTCACGGTGTGGTTTTACTTGGACTGCTATCTTCGCTTCAGCTCGGAAGAGTACCAGGTCGACGATTTGGTACGATATGTATATGCATATAAATTCAAAGGGCTTAAATATACCTCTCATTCGACGATGATATTTCATTCTACGTAGTATTCAATGTATCTCTATAGAATACTCGATGATATATATATATATATATATATATGCAAAGTTGATCGATATATTACTTGATGCAATGTGAAAAACAGTTGTATGTATTATGCACTTTGCACTTTGAATTGTCATCGTCAACCCAAATCAATATATATATATATGGCGTTTTCGTATGGACAATTCATTTGTATACATATATTATTTGATATTTTCTTATGGACAATTCCTTTATCCCTCCTCGTGTAGAGCGACCAATACGTGCACTTGACAAACAATTCGATTCAAAAGAACGGCGAAAACTTTTACCGGGCGTATACGACAGAAGATGGCTCGATGACCGTGGAAGGGTGCGTAAGGTTTCTGCATGTTCGTCATTCACTTTGGACATAATTACATTCGAAACGATGACCAACGTAATGCTGGGATGATATTGTGTTTTCAGCCAAAATTTGGATATTTCGTCAAATCCATCGGTCGATTAGTTGCTGATTTTTTTATGTGGAGTTTGAGAAGCCATTCACACGGTTTGAAGTCACACTTTCATTCGGTGGTTGCAGGCGTTTGATTGGCGAATTGAAATTGTTCTGGCTTTTGATTGGTCGGTCGATTGTCTGTCGATTGAGAGCACCCACCCCCTCCAAAGTCGAATCGACTTGAGAATACTACAGCTATAACGACTACACGTAGCAACATGTGGCACTCGGATGAGCTGACGGAGCACCTGACGAGGAAGTACGGCGTCGATCCTGACACGAACCAGAGCCTCTTTACGTCCAAGATCCAACCGCGGATGAAGGAGATCGTCAAGTGGTCGCTGAGTTGCGTGCAGGACACAGTGCAGCATCGCAAAAACTCATGCGAACTGTATGGGTATGACTTTATGTTGGACGACAAGTTGAAGGTAATATGTAGGTATATATATATAGTGCATTTCACCCAAATTTGGACTTTCATTAATAGCTTTCGAGTGTACTTGATCCTATTTAATCTTGTACCCATTATTGTGCTTTCGAGTGAAATTTCGTGTTGTGGCGTGGTTTCTCGTTGGAATTTAAATCGATTTGATTGGCTACCTCAGATGAGCTCAAAATTATTAGCCAATCAAAAACTTCTTAATGAAATTCAACCAATCAGATCGATTGTGGATCGCTTTGGTCGGCGCGATTCGATTGCACCCCCTCCACAAATTTGTATCAGATCGACAATATACATGTACACAGATTAGAATATATGTGGTTTTGCCCAACTATAACGGTGGGGTCAAACGTTTGGATTGGCAGAAACTCATCAGAACGTGATTTGATTGGCTTAGGTGGGTGTTTGATCTTCTATCGATTTGACAATTTCGTTAACAATTCGTATCCAGATATCGTCTATGTGGAAGGAGTGGATTAACAATTAGTGACCTGATTTGCCTCACGATTTGTTTTTGGTTATGGGAAGAATGGTCGTGAAATGGGATAGGATTCACAATTGGTGACCATCATTCTGTGTTTAATTGGGATTTTTGTGGTGGAACCGTAGCCGTGGCTGATTGAAGTCAACAGCAGCCCCGCGTGCGACTACTCGACGGCAGTCACGAAGCGGTACATTCAAACGGGGTTGGAAGACATTTTGAAGGTCATGCTCGACGTCCGAGAGTACGACGCTGCGAAGCGGAAGAACAACCAGGTACGAGGATGGGATGATATCGTGTGGAATGATGACGTGCGTCATGCAGACCAAGATGCCCAAGCCCGATACGGGTCGTTGGGAGAACATCCACAAGGCAGAATACATCGCCAAACCCATGTCGTCGTTTGGTGGGATGGATTTCGAGATCAAAGGCAAGAAACTGTCCAAGAAGAGTCAACGGGCCATCAACCAAGCATGTGCTGCCCCTGCCACACCGACGCGCCGACACGGTGCAGACGTGAACGCACCACTGTCCGTTCTAGACGAAGGAACGCCGCAAGACGAGGATGACGAACGGGATGGTGGAAACACGATGATTGGTGCATCGAGTGAAGGCGGTATGCTGCGTTCGACGAGCGACAACACGGTGGTGTGCCAACACCACCGTGTTGTGGGTAACGACGACGCCAAGAACAACGACAAAGACGACGAGAAGCTGGATGGCGGTGACGGTAGCGGCTCGCGGCAGTCGCCATCTGTGGGGCTGCCGCCAGACCTGGACGAGTTGTTGTAATAATTCACATGAAATGTAAAGAATTGAGTTGACCTTGTTAATGGAATTCGCAAGGTGAGCCACCTTGCTCCTTTTTAATATCCAATCAGAGTCCATCACACCTTGTTTCTTACATACGATTGGCTATAACACTGACAGAAGAGGTTACAATTTTGAACTTTGAATTTTGTACTCTGGAGTAGAGCTTTGTGTGATGTTGTTCCAGAGACTTGTGCACTGATGAGTGCACTCCGACTATGTCCAATGTGGTTCTCCCCTTGCAGCTATCATTGTGTTGTGCGCTCGGTTGGGTCGCAATGTCGTGGTGGCTCTGGTGGGCCAACGCGGTGGCGCAAGAGGTCTTGGTAGCACCCATCGCAAACGCAAAGTGCTAAAGCAGCCACTTCAGCACTTGCGATGGGTGCCACCAAGATGTCTTGCGCCACCGCCCGCGCAACCACGTGATCACACCGGCAGGGAGGTGTGCGGCACCGACACGGGTTGGATGGTGGAATGAGGGATGACCAATTTCATTGGGTTAGTAGGCAAGTGGTGAAATGAGACCTGTTAGAATTGACTGAGTCCTGAATACCACATCACATGATCTTGCTCTCATACACAGCCTACAATTATCTCAAGGCTCCTTGCATCAACCGCCATCACAGGAATATATCGCAACAGGGCGTGATGAATCTATGCAGCGATTTTCGTGATTTCACCGCATCTGATTGGACAAAATTGGACAATTTTGAATTTCGCAAGGTGACCTGCCTTGCGAATTCCAAAAAGTGACAGACACATGAAAAATAAAAATCATCAATACAAACTTGAAGATATATTTAATTGAAACTATACAATTTCAGAACTATTTATGGAATTCGCAAGGTGGTTCACCTTGCGCAGCATACAAAATTGCCTATTTCACCTTGCTTTTTCTGGTTAATGGCAGTCTTTTTGTCAATTGGCACTCAAATGGTACAATTATCCGGACTTAATATCCGGATAACACTTCCTTTTGAATTGTATGGTCACTTCCCGCGCAGCTATGGCATCAGCACAAGAGGAAGCGCCGCCCCTTCTGCCGACGCCGCTTGAAGTGCGCGCCCTGCAGCAACCTGAAAAGGTCGTGATGCGAAAGAACTCCCTGGGACGTGACAAGCATGAAGTGCTCACGGACGCCCGCGTGCTCATCTTGTACACTGGCGGGACATTTGGCATGGCTCCAGACGCGGTTGGCACCCTTCATCCCAAGTCGGGGTTCCTGGAGCAAAAGGTCAAGGAAATGGACGAATTCAAGTTTGGCGGGATGCCCAAAGTCACGATCATCGAGTGGGAAGACCCGATTGACTCGTCCGACATGTCGCCAGCCGACTGGGGTCGCATTGCACAGACGATTGAAGAGCACTACTGGGACTACGACGGGTCCGTCCCATGTCTTTGTTACGCCCTTCACTCACCTCCGTCGTCATGCGTAGATTCGTCGTGCTTCAAGGCACCGACACGATGGCGTACACGGCGTCCGCCCTGTCGTTCATGCTGGAAAGCTTGGGTAAACTGGTCGTGATCTCTGGTGCGATGATTCCGCTGCATTTTCCTCACAGTGACGCGCGGCGCAACCTCATCATGTCGGTGCTGTGCGCCGCGAGCCTCGAAATTCCAGAGGTCCATCATCATTCGCATCATCTGCCCGTAGAGTCGTCATCGACGTGCATAGGTGTGCATTTACTCGAACGACAAACTTCTGCGGGGCAACCGCACGACCAAGACGTTCAACATGGCCGTGGACGCGTTCCACTCGCCCAACCATCCTGTCTTGGCCTTGACGGGCGTCGAAACCATTCTCGAACATGGGCTCATTCTGCCGTATCCTCGCCGCCGGTACGAACATCTTGGAACGGCAGAAAGTCTTGTAGTTCTCATCCTTCCATTGATATATATAGATGTATATCTACGTATACTTTTGTCATTTATCATTCTTCTATCGAACTATATATATATCCGGGGTTTCGGGGTTATGGACAGTACATATAGCATGCTTCCATCGAACTATTTGTATATATATATATATCCAGGGTTTCGGGGCTATAGATGTGTATATATACATATACATTTCATCTCTCATGCTTCCGTCCAACTATTTATATATGCGGTTTCGGAAATATACACATATCTCTATACAAGTATATATGTGTGTATATTTGTTTTACCTAATCTTTTTCTATCGATCTATCTATATATATATATATCCACATGCGTATATTGCATCGAACGTCCTTTCACCGATATATATATATATATATATATATATCTACAGCTGTCATCTCACTCTTTTCGTGGATGACGTGATTAGATTCAGCGCATTTACAAAGCTTCACACCAACATTTGCGTGTTCCACTTGGTCCCAGGCTTCGACGACGACTGCATCACGGCGTATATTGAAAAGCACAAGCGCGACCAACCTGGGGCCAGCGCCAAAGCCATGGTACAGTTGCTCACGTGATTGCTTAGCAATCTCATGGACTTACTTGTTAGGTGTTTGCCTTGTACGGCACTGGCAACGCTCCGTTGAAGAAGGATGGATTCCTTCAAGTCATCCAACACGCGTTGGATGCCAACATTGCCGTGTGTGTCACCACGCAGTGTCTCCACGGACGGTATCCAATATATATATATATATAAAAATCGTGTGGAAGCGGTCGTTTGTTGAATGTATGGTTAATATTGTATACAGTTGTAATACAATCCTGTGTCATATATATGGGGTATGATGTATATGACTATGTGTCTTATGAAACCTTGTCCTCCTGTCAATGATCGATACAAACGTTTTGCCCTTTGTCAAGTGGGGAGATATGTATTATTATTATTAGTCTATTACATATATATATTTACGTGTTTCAAACGGTAGAACCCAATTGGACACGTATGCGACGGGTATCAAGTTGCTTCAAATGGGCGTGATCACGTCGTACGATATGACAATCGAGTCGTGTGTGACCAAACTCGCGTACCTCATGGGCAAGGGGTACCGCGGCCCCGACCTGAAACTCAACATGGAAACGGTACTTGAGATTCAGACGCACGGAATGATGGTGATATATCCACGGAATGATGGTAATATTTCATGGGTAGGACCTCCGGGGGGAGTTGAGTGTACTGGATGTGACGGGTGAAACGGACCTGACGCGGTCGTCCAGCCTGACGCAGAAGAAGGTCGTGAAGCGGATGCTATCGCATTAGATACTACCGTTGCTCTAGTAGTTTCTCTAGTAGTGGCTGTAGCAGTTGCTGTAGTAGTTGCTCTAGTAGTTGCTCTAGTAGTGGCTATAGTAGTGGCTGTAGTAGTGGGGACTGACGTTATAGCGAGGGATCTCGAATAGTATACTAACGTTACTACACCATTTTTCAATTGACTTGGACATTTTCTCGATGGATTCGGACAGGTCACTATTGGATTTAGTGACGTGCCCATTCGAATGAATGAGTGCCCAATGGATTTGGTACCCATGTTCGGTGTGCCCATTGGATTTGGCACGGCCCCCTCGTGTGCCCATTCGATATGCCCATGTGCCTTATAGAATTGGTTTGTACCCAACCAAACAACCTTTAGATCCTTCAAAAGTGTCGTGCTTGCATTCAATTAGGAAAACTCAAAAATGAATTCAATAAATCATCCAAAGGATGAAAATAAAACATTTGCAAGGGTTCATAATGAACCGTCTTGTACGTGAACACCACGTTTGTCGAGTTCACGATGCAAAGTCGATGTGGACACCTGACACTTTCGAATGATCTAAAGGTTGTTTGGTTGGGTACAAACCAATTCTATAAGGCGCATGGGCATATCGAATGGGCACACGAGGGGGTCGTGCCAAATCCAATGGGCACACCGAACGTGGGTACCAAATCCATTGGGCACTCATTCATTCGAATGGGCACACCACTCAATCCAATGGTATATCAACCGAATCCATCGAGAAAATGTCCAAGTCAATTGAAAAATGGTGTAGTAACGTTAGTATACTATTCGAGATCCCTCGCTATAACGTCAGTCCCCACTACTACAGCCACTACTATAGCCACTACTAGAGCAACTACTAGAGCAACTACTACAGCAACTGCTACAGCCACTACTAGAGAAACTACTAGAGCAACGGTAGTATCTAATGCGATAGCATCCGCTTCACGACCTTCTTCTGCGTCAGGCTGGACGACCGCGTCAGGTCCGTTTCACCCGTCACATCCAGTACACTCAACTCCCCCCGGAGGTCCTACCCATGAAATATTACCATCATTCCGTGGATATATCACCATC